ACAGGACCTGCCTCTAATGAACCCATGTTTGTTGCCCCAAGCCCCTAAGGTTCTTAACTCTATATCCAAGTTTGTTATATACCTTTATTCAAACCTAATAAGCATTCCCAGATAAGCTCATTTTAGTGGAATAGGAAGTGAAAATGATAATATTTTATTAATCCTAGGCATAGTATAAATATGTTGACTCTATGGGTTTCTATTATCAGCTTTATAGGAGAAAAGGCCACATTATACATCTTTCCTGTTTCCTTTTGCAGACCAAAAATGAAACAAACATATACAAAAAACCCCAAAAACTTACTCGTACAATAAGAATCCATTTGATCAGCGATAGGCCAAATCCACAGATTGCACCATATCTTCCTGCTATGGTGTTCGTTATACAGAAGGATAAGCAAAATCCAATCCAGTTGAAAATAAATGCCACTAAAACCAAGAGAATCAGTAGCATCTGGTTAGTCAGTGCTAAGTATTACATAAATACTGCTAAAGTAGTGTGTGCTGGGCAGTTTGGGAAGGAGGGGTGGTACATGCACACACACACCATCTATATAGAAAAATATACATTTATTTATTTAATTTTCCATCACTGATTTTACTAAAAATACTGCTGAATACATTTCCATAATAAGAGATCCATATTAGTGTTTCAGATGATAATATTCCTTTGAGGACAGAAATTCCTAGCAGTATATTACCTTAGAAGTATAGCACCTGATTAAATGGTCAGCATTATTTAAACAGTGAGAATTCCAGATGAAACTACATGCATCCTCTAGGCTAGGGACAGAAGTTACACACAAACCTATATAAGTGATTGGAAACCCGTTCAAATCTGTAACACAACAGAAGTTTAGAGCACATAAACCACTTTCAAAATGGTAAAAATTGGTTTAAGATAAACCTAGAGGGATGTAGTATCAGACTGAATGGAACTGATTTACTTTAAATCGGTTTGTTGAACTTCTGCTCCAGATTCAAGTTCATAGATTTCATAGACATTAGGGCTGACAGGGACCTCAAAGATCATCAAGTCCAGCCCCCTGCCCCAGGGGCAGGAAGTCAGCTAGGGTAGGAAATACTGTGTATTGTGTAACCAGCTGTATGTTGGCTCAGGACTTGTGTTGTTTGGGGATTATTAGGTATTTTGTAGGCAACTGGCTGGCTTTTGCCAACTTGCATCAAATTTGTGTGTGGATACGCACACACCTGTAGCCACAATGTTTCATTACTGTTGATAAAGATTTGTAATATGGGGCAGGCCAGAGATACGGTGGTTGCTGTCTCACTGGAAGAGAGTTTATGGGACAAATACCTGCGAGTTCAATTTGACTTTCTGCAAAAAAGCCAAGTTCCAAACTGAACTGCCATGGGAATAGTTTTAGGGGATTATTTCTGTGGGTCTGGTAAACACACTCAGAAATGTCGGGCCTACTTCTCTTTGTTGATGGAAGATCTTTGACTCCCAAAGTGTTAAAAGTCCTGGTGGCTTCTTTAATTACCTTTCCCTTGGAGTTAACTCAGTCCCCCAGCATCCCAGGATGCTTTGTACCTCCCCTGAAAACCCCTCCTCATAGGGTGGGTGGGCTAACATTGGCTCAAGCTGTCTGCTCCAAGCCAAGCAGGGAGGCATGCTCTAGCACCTCCCTGGCTTCTGGCCTGACCCACTGCAGGAATGTGGCTGCATTTCTGGAATCAAGAAAGAATGTTCGTTCACTTACTTGCTGGTTCAATCTACACAGTTTAGACTAACCTGTGAAGACTGAATCAACTCAGCCTCGGGATTTTTGACTGTCTGCATTTAGTCCTAGAGAATGATTATAAACTTCACAGATATCTGACTGGAACCCCATAGAACCATAAGGATGAACACACCAAACAAGTACTAAGAATTAGGCAGATATGTAACTTTAAGGATTTTATCTTGGGACTATGAGAGTGTAGCAAGATAATTTGAAATTTCACATATGTTTACATATGCTAGAATAATTCTAATGTAGGGCTTTTCTTACTCTAGATAAAATTGAAAATAAAATAAATTTACTTGCTCCCTAAATTGATTATAAAGTGAAATACCTTTTGGAGAAGATTACACATTGCATCCTTTCCCTGGTCCAGAAATCATAACACCCATTATTTGAATACAGTATCATAATGCAATCTCCATTATGTAAATAAACAGAATAAATATTATTATAATATCTCTTACAGTCATGGCACGTTAAACAACACATGGATCACCGTGTTTAAATGTTCTCATTGCTCTTACTATCAAATTTCACTTGTAATCTTCTCAGTGATTGTCTTTTGCATGTTTTAGTGTTAGTTACAAGCAACACTGTCTATATGGACATCATCTTGTATACAATGAACACAGTATGGGAATTCTTCTGAACAAGGTAGTCTCCCACTATTGGAAGTGGAAGCAATACAAGAAATACCAAAATAGTTGGGAGAAAGAATTGGGGAAGAGAGATTAGAGTTTAGGAGTGGATGAGATACTGGAAAGTCAACTATATCAGTGAGAACAGAAGAAAAAAAAAAAAGAGGCATGCAGCATGAGGGAGGGTTACAAACAGGGAGAAAAAGAAGCATTGCTAATGAAAAACTAAGCTAACTTTGCAGTTTAAAAATAAGTGCCTAACAACTTTAACTCCAATGCTTTACAAACAATCCTATGAAAAAATCAGAACTACTAGGCAAATGCACAAAGAATTGATCTATTTTCCAAAGCATTAAATAAAATCCATATAACAAATATGGGTAAAAGATTCCATAACAAGAAGTCATACACAGAATAATCAACCAACCAGTAAAACTTTTTCTATTAAAAAAATCTTACCACCTCTCCTTCTAGAAAGGTAAACCTTTACAGTTTTGGTCTCTCTTATCTTCAAAATGTAAGTGGGACTTCACAAACAGTGAAGTGCCCTTGCCTAAAAAAGGGGGCACTTCACAATGTATTTCCTAAACACGGTTTCATACTTTGTCTCACCTTTAAAAAAAAATCTGTTTTATATATGTGCATAAAAGAACAAGTCTCTCCCAAATAAGTGGTGGCTACTATGAAGTTCACTTTTAGGCAAGTCACAAAAAACTAATAAATGGGTTAGCTAAAAAAGAAATAGTATTTTTATTGCATAAAAAGAATATTTAAAACAGCATCCACAGATATCTTTTCAAAAAGAAAAGTTTGTTAGTAAGAAAACTCTGATAAATCCCATTCAGAAAGCAGTTTCCTTTTTTTTCTCTAATAACCTCTCCCAGCTTGCCACACACACAAGTCTACACTGAACTTCAGGAATCAATACTTTAAAAGTTAGCCTACTTCTGTCTCAACATAAGATTACTGTTCCCTTTTTTGCCATGCTTTTGCAAACCTGTCCAATCTCTACAGAGGTATGCCAAAAAGGTGAGGCCCAGTAAGACTATGTAAATAATTCTTTCAGACTATGCTCATTTGAGCAAATCCCTGCAATTATAAAACAAATAAATCCTCACCCATAAACACACACACAAACCTTTACAGCACCCTAAGCTCAGTACTGATAGTCTCATCTGCTCAGCATTACCTGGGATTACATTCTTTTCATGAAGACACACCCATACACTGAGAAGTTTGGGGGGGGGGGGGTGGAGAAAGACTGTACAAGTTAGTGCCAGGAGAAAAACCTGACCCACATTCTGCTGCTGCACCACTGAGGCAGCATTCTGCAAGGCGGAAGATGGACAGCTGGTCCTGCATGTGTAACCCCATGAGGAATGTGGGGGGTTAATTCTCCAGTGACATAGTGTTTTTTAAATTGCTGACAAGTGTTTCATGTGTGGCCTCTGGGAAAGCTGCACACCTTAGCACTTTCACCATTTGTTCTTAATATTCACACAGTAAAGTCTCTTTATCTCCTCACAAAAAGGGGCAGGATGCTACCAAATCTAAACGATGGAAAAGTGCCCATGGCCAGTGCCCCATGCAGCAACCGCTACTGGAGGTATTTTCAGCAGCCTAAAGATATGTTGTGGGCTCCTGCATTACTTGTAAATACTCCTGGAACAACAAGAAATATAAAAATAGCAACATGCTGATATGAAAAACACTGGTTTATCAGAGTTATTAAAGACGTGTCAGTTTCCACAGGTTGTGAAAAACGTCACTCTAGGCTCACATTTCATAGTTAATATCCTGGCAACAATTTAGGAAAATAATTGCCATTTACAAACAAAAACCATGTAAAATAAAAAAGGATAAGATATTCAAGATGTGGCTTCTGATCTCGTACTGTAACCACCGTCAAGGAGAACTATGTACCTTCCTATAACTCAGAAGAAGAAAACCATTAGAAAGCATTAGAGTTATACACCAAATTTTCCAAACACATACTAAAGAGTAGCATTAGTTAATTTCAAGACAACTATGTCTTAATGCCCTCTGAAGTTGTAGATGTCCATCCTCTGGACCAGGGTTCAACAACATTTTCCAGCAGGGGGCCACAATGATCCTACTCAGGCTGAAGGCCCACAATAACTGTGGAGTGGCATGGGCAGAGATCTCCCTCTGCTGAAAGCCCCAGGCACCTGACTGCAGGACAACGTAGGCAGAGCTCCCCCTCCACTAAAGCCCCAAGTGTCCAAAGGGAGAGCCCCCTGCCACAGAGCACCATTGAAGTTATCATCACAGGTTCTTGAACCTTGTTCTATGCTCCGACAGAATTAGGGTGGAGCCTTTGGTAGCAGAACTACTAGGGGGACCAGAGAAGAAGGGAAAAGAAGCCGCAAATAATAAGCGACATTTCTGCAGAATAATGTGCAAGCTTGTATGTTTTTTGTTTTGTTTTGTATTTTAAAGGCATACGTTGCTGCATATTATTAGTGAAAGTCATTCCCTTTCACTACCATGGCATCTGCATGGCACTATCTGTGGGCTAAGAAAATCAGTTACAGAGCAAACTGAACAATTAGAGAGAAGGAGTTAAAGATCTATAATTAATTACCTTAAAGATTTATGTTTGCTATTTGTATTATACAATGTACTAGTCTTAAAATTAAGAGTATTCTCACTTCTATTAACAAATTATTTAGAAGAAAAACCATATCAAATTATTAGAAAAAGAAATCCAAAGTTTGCTTCATAGTCTATTACTTATAACAGGGGATCTCGAGCAACTTAAAAGGGGACGTAAACTTCCCAGGGGGTACGCACGGCAGCACAGGGAAGCGGCACGAGGAGTGGTGGATGGCAGTGGAGACTGCCGCGTGTGAGCTCCCCATCCCCTACTGCTGCCATCCAGCACTAGAGGTCGCAGTATCACAAAGTTTGAGAACCCCTGACTTGCAATGTCCTGGTGTAAGTTACACTTAAGTACAGAATTCCGGTCTTATGGATCAATTTAAAGCTGAAAATAGTTCAAATCAGACTCTCAAAATTAGAT